TTTGCTCGTAATTTCAAATCAGCCTCGCGCTTCACGCTTGTCCTATTTTGAAATCACTTACGCGATTACTCCCTGAATTGTACTTCACCTGCACTAATTATTATTACAAATTATGATTATTATGATTATGATGTAAATGTACAATGTAAACTTTTTTCTTTGTGGTTGGACATCATGTCTGAGTGCCAAAATGACTCAGCGTATACATGTAGTTGTGAAGAGCTTGTTTATAGACCATGTTTGTTTTGAAACAAGTTAAAATTCATAAATCGTATGGATCTATGTTCTCTGCCTCTTTAATAGCCTCTTCAGACTTGTATAAGCAATCCTTCTATTAATAGCATTGATTTAAACATGATGATTAATGTGCAGCTAATATGCCCATGTGGATCTGTTATTGAGAAATTAAATGCAATTTTGATCAAAATAACAATAACAAATATGATAAAATAATACCAAAAGCCATTTACATAAAAACTACAGTGAAATTTTCTGTGCTGAAAAATACAGTTTACATCAAGAAAATCGTCGGAAAAAGATGGACTAGTCTTTGCTCTTAAGCTTGGTATTTGTTTTTGATCTTTAAAACTATTAAAATCTTTGCTTTTACATGTATTAAGTGAATCAGCTGTTTAAGAGCCACTCGCCCTAACCACCGCGTGAGGGGCGGCACAAGTTCGGAAAAATGGACCCCTTGATATTTGGTCCAGAGATAACCTAGGGTATGCTAAGAATCGTTATATAAGTTTTAGGTTCTAGAGTTTTTACATTTTTGAGAAAATTACAAAAAACCCTTGACAACCCGTGAAGCCGAAAAATCACAGAAATGAGGTCCAATTTCACGATCAGATAATCGAACTCGTGTGAAGGCACATTAGCAATTATGGTTTTCCTTGGTTTAGCATAGGAGGTATTGCTAAGCAAGGGAATTTCTAGACTTTGAAAATCAAAAATTCCATACCGTTTTCAAACATCTCAAAACATACTCGGTATTAAGTAGAATTCTTTCAAAATTCAATTCTAGCAAGTACAAGAGCTGTTTTTGAACGTGATACAATTTTTTTCTTGGCAAAAGTTATTTCTGAGGCAAGCGGTTTCATGCAAGTTTACCCAATTTGACCTTTCAAAGAGATTTTGTTTAATCAGGAAATGTAAGCAACTCAACTAGCCTAAACTCGCTTTCTGAGCAAACCGTTGAAAAACCCTGCCATTTCTCATTAAAACTACCCACAAACCTGAGATAATACTTTGATGACAGCTTACCTTCCAAATGGGTGTTTGAAGGCAAATAATTTTGATGTTCTCAGTTAATTTTTCCATTGCTCTCTTGTTGCTGTGCTTTATAATTTAGGGTCATATCTTGATATCGAGCTTGCTGATAGGTGTGTGGACGAAATATCAAGGGGTCCATTTTTTTGTGCCACATTTCTTCAGTCTCACTTGGTCCCTATAGAGAGTCGCTCTTAAGTGGTTCAAAGGTGACTGCCTGTGAAGGCAATATTGATGTTTTTATTTTGGAACCTCTATATAAGGAAGGGCCAAGGGTCTGGCAAAATCAAGGTTCTTTTCTATGTGTTTAGTATTACTTGGGTGAGGAATATTGTTTGTTTTACGGAGGACTTTTATATAGAGGTTTGTTACATCAAGGTTCCCCTGTATTTCAGTTTGTGGTGCAGGAAAATTTTATTTTCACCCCTAATGGATAACAAAATGTCTTACCTTTGAAAGATCAAGCAGAGGGAGTAACAGATGTAGTAGGTCTGTGCGCTGTGAATGCAAGTTTATATTTGTTATGCCAGTCTAACAGATGTCACTTCACCTCACCAACATGTACTTTGAAAACTGCCCCATAATGCAGTGATAAACATTCTTATTAATTCATGTATACAAGTCATGCTAATGGAATGAGCCATCAGTTTTTTTGTGCAGACCAAATGTGTAATAATATGTCTGACCAAAACAGAGATTTGAAAGGACACCTCTAAGTACATGCAAGACAAATTTTTTCCTGCCTTGGCTCTACATGATCTGTTTTTCCTCTGCATTCGGTGCAGATGGTAGCGGTGAGAAATCTGCTGGAGTTGCTTCTGTGTTTTGGAGACTGGGGTCAGCGTCATTTTGGTATTAAAACCAATAAGCTTGTAGAAAGACTTCAGCTAGAGTTTCATGATCACTTTGATCAGCTGTTGCACTTGTTTTGGGGAAATTGTTTTAAATTTTAGAATTTTGGATTCTTAATTGACATTGCATTATCATTTTAGAAATAAACTCTGAATTTTTGAACATGTTGAGATCACTTATTGCCTTTCAGAACCATCAAGAGAGGTGTCCTTACAAGATTGTCCAGTGCCCAAGTCTAAACTGTGGTGTTAAACTGGCCAGGAACCTGATTGAGGAGCATTTATCGACTGCCTGCCTGTGGAAAATTGTTACTTGTCAATTCTGCAATGACAATCATCCAAAATCCCAAGAACATGTAAGGAAATGAATTTAGCATTTAAGCTTCTTCTTTAAAAACAGACACCCCCTTCTTCCTTCTTTCCTTTTTCTTTGCAATCCTTCCTTCTGTTTTTCCTCCTTTGCACTGTGTGTGTGAATCCATCACTCTTGCTACCTCCCTCCTTCTCTCGTCTCCTCCCCATCCATCCTTCCCTCTTTCTGCACTTCCCCCATTCCTTCTGCCCTTCAGTCTATATGTTATTCCGTCCCTCTGTCTTGATCAGTACTTCCATTCAACAGGCTTCAAAAATTCCTTTGCTGATGCAATACATCCAAAAACTGAAGAAAAAATGAAATTACTAGAAAGAATACTGGATACTGTTAAAAAAAAAACAAAAAAAAAACTGCATACCTTGTGCACACTTTTGAGATGAAGATTGTGTTTTGATGTTGTAATTCTTGTTACTTGTCAGATGCACAATGAAAGCTGCCCCATGTTCCCTGTCAGTTGCATCAATGGCTGCGAAAAAATAGTCCCAAGAGGACAGGTGAGACAATTTGCTATCCCAGTAATGTATGTTAGGTGTGCAGGGGCAGAAATTAAGCATGCAAAAAAAAA